CCATCAATTTCTGCCTCACACTCTAGTGGTTTCATATCCATAGCAATTTTAGGAGCTTCTGGGAGTTTGACTTCAGCTTTGGCTTCTGGAAGTGTCACATCCACATCTCTCTTTGAGAAGCTTAAATCGATTTCAGGTCCTTTTACTTTTGGCATTGTGATTCCAAACTTTGGCATTTTAAACTTGCTTCCTTGTCCATCAATTTCTGCCTCACACTCTGGTGGTTTCATTTCCATAGCAATTTTGGGAGCTTCTGGGAGTTTGACCTCAGCTTTAGCTTCCGGTAGTGTCACATCTACATCTTTCTTGGAGAGGCTTAAATCAATTTCAGGCCCTTTTACTTTTGGCATTGTGATTTCAAACTTTGGCATTTTAAATCTGCTTCCTTGTCCGTCAACTTCTACCTCACACTCTGGTGGTTTCATATCCATAGCAATTTTAGGAGCTTCTGGGAGTTCAACCTCAGCTTTTGCCTCTGGTAGTGTCACAGCTACATCTTTCTTTGAGAAGCTTAAATCAATTTCAGGCCCTTTTACTTTTGGCATTGTGATTCCAAACTTTGGCATTTTGAACTTTCCTCCTTGTTCTTCAAGTTCAACATCAGTCTGCAAAGGTTTGATTTCCACTTCAGGTTTTTTAACTTCCACCGTGGCAATGTCAGGAGCTTTAATTTCTACTTTAGCTGAAGGTTCTTTTAGTTCAACATCAGGGAGGTTGACATCTACTTTGGCTTCTGGTAGTGTCACATCAACATCTTTCTTTGAGAAGCCTAGATGAAATTCAGGTCCTTTTACCTTTGGCATTGCCATTCCAAACTTTGGCATTTTGAACTTGCTTCCTTGTCCTTCAACTTCAGTCCGCAAAGATTTCATTTTCAGTTCAGGTTTCTCAACTTCAGCCTTTGCATCTAGAGTCAAAACCTCTGCTTTTCCAAGACTGACATCAATCTTAGGGGCATCTGGGAGTTTGACCTCAGCTTTTGTCTGTGGCAATGTCACATCCATGTCTTTCTTTGATAAGCTCAAGTCAAATTCTGGCCCTTTTACCTTTGGCATTTTGATTCCAAACTTTGGCATTTTGAACCTTTCTCCTTGTCCATCAAGTTCACATTCAGTCTGCAAGGACTGCATTTCCAGTTCAGGGCTTTTAACCTCCATCTTGGCCTCTGGAATTGAAACATCTACTTTTCCTATATCAACCTCTGGAAGTTTGACATCAACGTCTTTCTTTGATGATCTTAAATCAAATTCTGGCCCTTTTACTTTTGGCATTTTCACTTCAAACTTTGGTATTTTAATCTTCCCACCATGACCATCCATTTCTGCTTCACACTCTGGTGATTTCATCTCCACAGCAATTTTAGGGGCCTCTGGAAGTTTGACATTGGCTTTAGCCTCTGGTAATGTCACATCTACATCTTTCTTCGGTAGGCTTAAATCAATTTTTGGTCCTTTCACCTTTGGCATAGAGAAACCAAGATGTGGCATTTTAAACTTGCCTCCTTTTCCATCCTGTTCAGTTCCTATTGAAGGGCCCTCAATGTCAATGTCAGGTGTTGCAATGGTAACCGCAGAGTGCTCCTCAGGGATATTAATGTCAGCTCCATCGATTTTTACATCTTTGTCCATATCAGGTACTTTTACAGAGACGTGTGGAGTACCAACACCAAATTTTGGTAGTTTGAATGTTGGCATCTTAAATTTTGATGGTGATCCTTCTGCATCCTTTTCTACACCTTTAAATTCAGGAGCTTTAATTTCTACTTTAGCAGTGTGTTCAACATCAGGGAGTTTGACTTCTGCTTTGGCTTCTGGTAGAGTCACATCTATGTCTTTCTTAGATAAGCTGAAATCCATTTCAGGCCCTTTTACTTTCGGCATTGCGATTCCCAACTTTGGCATTTTGAACCTGCTTCCTTGCTCATCAAGTTCACCATCAGTCTGCAGAGGTTTGATTTCCAATTCAGGAGTTTTGACCTTCATCTTTTGTTGTGGAATAGAGACATCTATACTTCCAAAAGTAACGTCAATCTCAGGAGCTTCTGGGATTTTCCCTTCAGCTTTAGCATCTGTTTGTTTGACATCAATGTCTTTCTTTGATATGCTTGAATCAAATTCAGGCCCTTTCATTTTTGGCATTTTGATACCAAGTTTTGGCATTTTGAACTTGCCTCCTTGTCCATCAATTTCACCTTCCCTTGTCATAGGTTTGATTTCAAATTCAGGTTTTTTTACCTCCATTTTTTGCTCTGTAATAGAAACATTTCCAAGGGTAACATCAACCTCAGGCACTTCTGGGAGTTTGACCTCAGCTTTAGTTTCTGGTAGTGTGACATCTACATCTTTTTTTGATAGGCTTAAATCCATTTTAGGTCCTTTTACCTTTGGTATGGAGATGCCTAGGTTTGGCATTTTAAACTTGCTACCTTTTCCCTCTCTTTCCAATGTTTGTATCTCTGCCCCATCAATATGTATATCCTTATCTACATCAGGGACGTTTACACTGACATCTTCTAATTCATCTCTGACATCTGGAAAGGAGATGTTAGCATTTGGCTTTGTAGCATCAAGACTAACACCAAAACCTGCAAGCCAGCTGCCACCATCCTTTTTGTTTGGTGAACCACCTACTGAATCAATGTATTCAATGCTGTCAATTTCAGGTATTTTGACATCAGATATGACTCTTCCAGTTTGCCCCTTGCCTTTTCTTGCTTCAGTTTTCTCTCCTTTTATGCCATCCACTTTTCGCTCATAGATATTTTGTTTTGGTAAGTCAATTCCAATGTCAGGGATTTTAATGTCTGGTTTTGCAATCCCAAAGCTAGCTGTTATCTTTGCCTTCTTTGATTTCTTCTCAGATTCATTTGGGCTCAGTGTAGCTGCAGAGTCATATTCCGATTTGATGCCCTGTGTGTCTTGTGCCTGAATAATGGCGACTTCAGGTGCACTTTCTTTTCCAGGTATTATAATATCATCTCGTTTATAAACCTCAGTTTTAATCTCTTTGTCACTTTGTTTTGCCTTAGTTTTGGATTTCTTTTCAGGTTTCTTTAAATCTACCTTGGTCTCGATTAAAAGTTCCTCTGAGGTTAAATCAGCAGATGTGATCTTTGGTAGTTTGACTGTAGTCTTGGAGATTTCTGGAGAGGCAGTTGTATCAAACTTAATGAAGTGTGTCTCATATTTTGTTTTGGTATCTACTACTTTAGTAGGCGTTTTCACTGATATTCTTTGTGCATTTGCGTCTATCATAATAATTTCTTCAGGAATAGGCACTCCTGACGTGTCAACCTTAGGTAGCTTAAATCCAGGCAATTTTGATACTGCCTCTTTCACGCTGTCAACATCAATTGACATTTGTACAGCTTCAGCTTGAATTTCTTCATAATGTCCCGTGAAACCAGCTTTAGGGTCTTTAATTCCTCTGGCTGTGGTCCTCATAGACATGTCTTCCATACCTGGAATTTCAATTTCTTCACGTTTGGGAAGTTCTATTCTTGAAAGGCTGCTTTTTGACAGTCGCTCATAAGGGTCTTCTTTCACTTCTGTACCATCAGTTGTAAGCTGCTCAATTTTAGTTGTGCATTCTTCAACATTCACATTCATTTTTTGTATAGTTTCCTCAGTGGCAAGGTCACCCAAGCCTATTCTAGGTAGTTTGAATGTGGGACCTGTCCTTGTTTCTTGTTTAATGTCCTTCATTTTTTCTTCACCTTTCTGTGGAGATTTCCGTATGAAGGAGACATCGGGTATATCAAGTTCCACCTTCGGAACACTCATTTCCATCTGTGTTGTCATTGATTTTGCTGAGATTACTCTCAAACTCTCACTGCTGATGATTCGGGTATTGGCATCAGGTGCTAGTTGATCCTGTAGTTTTGTGTGTGACTCAGAACTTGGGATGGCAGCTGATTTTTCAGGTTGATCTGGTATTTCAATACTTGCCCCGAGTGTTTTCAGCCTCTTTGGTGAGGATTTTGCTTTTGCATCTTTCTTGTTCACTTTATCCTTTCCCAAAATTTTCATTTTTAATTCAGATCGTTCTTTCTTCTTTTTCTTGCCATCAGGGGACTTGATACCAGAGGAGCTGTCTTTATCTGCCAGAGCCACAGTTAGATCTTCTGTTTTCAAAGTGCTATCTATAGTGATGAGTTCCACCTTGTGTTGAACAGTTTGAGGTTCAGTCAGTTTTTGATCATTTTGCCCAAGTCTTAAGTCTTCCACTCCTTTCCGATCCTCTGTCACATAGACTTCAGGTGTTTCTCCCGAGGGGCTTTCAAGGCACTCAGGTGAAAGCATGTCTGATGCTTCATGTGTCTGGATGATCTGCCCAGTTGTTGGTGTATCTGTGTCCTGGTCTTCAGATGAACTTATGCGGCCTCTCTTTGTCAGAAGAGAAAGCTTTATTTTATGCCTCTTCTTGCCTTTGAGTGCATCCTGAGATTTTATAGGTGACTCTGTGTCACTTGTGGTGGGGCTCAGCTCAAGCTTTCTCTGCTCATCCGCCTCTGAGGAACTGTGAGACCTTGTAAAGCGGGACTTCCGTCCTTTTCCAAAAGAGGGAAACTTAGGCCACGAAATGCGAGCATCACCACGCCTTTTGCTTTTTCCTTGCTCCCTCATCTCTGGAGCATAGATGTCTTCCTCCTGTCGAGAAACAGAAATATGAAATGTCAGTTATACTCCCAAGACTACCTATCACAAAGAGTCTGAGCAGACAACTTGAAAATAGTTACAGGGATGACGTCAGATTCGATGGCTGATTCAGTCTCTGTGATATCTGGTTTGCGTTTCAAGCAGAGCTTCACTTTGTACGCTTGAGCGTGCTCCAGTATCTGAATGGCATCTTCGTATGACACGTTGTCAAAATACACTGTGGCACTCAGAATCTGATCACCTGCGTAAACCAGAGCAAAAAGATTCCAGAAGCACTTAGATGAGAGGGCTGTCAGTCTATGAAACTGGAAGTGTTAAAAAAGAGTCAATAAAAATGAAAATAAAAGATAGAATATGATTAATTCATTAGACTTTTCATCTTACTTAGTTAAGGTAATGCATATGTAAGGTAATGCATATGTCATTACCTTAACTAAGGAAGATGAAACCCATGGCTGTTCCAATAGAATCAATTCTTCATTAGTCCCACATTTCTCCCTCAAATTAGTAAAAGCATTTTTAGTTTTCATTGTTATTGGATAGAAAATCTATATTTTTTTCTCGTTTCCAACTGCTTGTTTACCTTCTTTAAGTTTCAGACTCTTTGATGCAGGGGACTCTGGTACCACTTCCTTAATGAAGATCCCTTCTTTTCCCCCTCCACCATAAACGAGACCCTCTGCACATCCATCTTTGGCAGTTTTCACTATTACCCCAGACTCGGGGCTGGGAACTTCCTGCCAAAACATCAAAATAGAAAGGATAAAATCATTTTACCTTTAGCTGTGCTATTCTCTGCTGCAGCACAGCCTGGAGGGATTCACAGATACAATACAGAGAGGAGAAGGTGGCAATGTCTCACCTTCAGTTTACTCATCTTTGGAGTTGAGCGCATGGACAACATGGACCCAAGCCCAGACTTTTTAGTTTTCTTTCCACTCCCACTTTTGTGGTGTGGGTCATGCTCCGCTTCACACTAAAAGAAAAATGTAAAAGAATTCTTTCAATTCAACCAAAAAAGTTTATTGTTGCAGTCAGAGCTTCAACCTTATTTGAACACAAAAAGCAACAGATATTTCAGGCTTTTAAAGTATTAAGAGAGAAAGTTAATACACTATACATAAATTAATACATGGAAGTAGCTGAGTCGGCAATGTGCAACATTAAACAAAACAGAGAGCCCATGTTAATCCACATGTGTTGACATACAGAGCCTGATATTGTACGTTTGGGGTAGTTGATGTGTTCCCTGAAATTACTAATTTTTGCACATTCTTTCTATTAGTCTTACCACTGAACTTCGCTACCTACAAGTGTCAAAGGGAAGAAAACTAATGAATGGATGGTGATAATTCAATAACTACGTAATTTGTGGCAATAAAAACAACAACATATACTGTAAGTGGTACTGTTTCCTTGGAAGCTGTGTCTTCCTCAAGTTTGTGAATAAATAAAAAAAACGAAAATGTTCCTCCAGCAAAGACGTAGTTCATAGGTTCTGACAGAAAAACCCATTTTGAGGGTGACAGCCACACACAGCAACACACCAAATTTAATGTCATATCTCTAGTTTAGGACTGTCATCAAAGATACTCCTGATACTTTGATTTTAAGACATGCATGCCTCCGCGTGAGCATAAATGAACCCAATACACAAGCTTTCCTCTCTCGGTCACAAGCTTGTTTTTTTAACTTCATTTGTCTACGGCCAAAACTAAATAGACGATTGAATCACAAGTACACTGCTGAATGACTCAGTGTCTTTACAAGTATTTAAGTAACCAGGTTAAAGTCAGTTCTCTGTTATAACCTGATTTCTAAAACTTCATGTTAAAAATAACAAGCGTGAGCGATCAAGAAACCTAATTTCTTAGTCACGTTTATACTTTAACTGCATATCCACATTATAGAAGTGCATGGAATCAGGTTCTTTGATTTATCATCTTAACCTGGTTTCTCCCTGTAACCTGGTTTGTTGTGCCTGTGTGACATAGTGGTATATTGGGGCTCTGTACCTCTTTGTCACTGTCGGTGTATTTTTCAGTTTCAGGATACTCCTCGACTGGGGACGATCCTTGAGGGCGTGGTCTCTCTCCCTCTGTGAACTGAGATGGCTCATCACATATCTGCGGGGACACAAGGTCAGTCACAGTCACATGGTCTGTTCCCAAAAGAGCTGTTATCAATTCAAACAGATATCATGTCATTTGAGTCAATTTCAGTCAGACATCTTTCTCTCCTCTTCTTCAGCCAACCTGAAACAGTTTGAGTGTTAAAACTCATGTAGCTGTGCCTGCAGCATGAACCACAAAGGTGTGGACAAAACTGGATTACAAATAGTGTGATAACACGTTGCTATGCCAAAGGCAGCATTGAGTGAGTGTTTGGCTGTTTAGTATTTAATAATTGTCACACTTGTAAGTGTGTTTCCAACGTTGGTTTTCATCGTCAGTTTATTCCCATAAAATTTAGTACAGACATTAATGGTCACCAGAGGATTAATCCTCATGTCTTATCAACTCAAAGGGGCCTTTGGATAAAATCACTCAAGAAAAGTAAAGTGTGGCAAATGTAGAAGATTACAGCTGTTATTTCAATGTGTCAGGCACATATTTAATCAACATTTAGGTAAATATGAGTATTGGATCAGACTCTGTTTCAGTAATACAATTATTAAAGGACTCTAAATCGGGATCAGGGCCAAAAAAAGCTGATCCAGACATCCTTAGTGTATACGTGTTTTCAGTATTGACATAGTGACTGTTAATTGAAGCCAAGACAGAAACCTTAAGTGACAGAAGAAGAGAAAGAAATGAAATAAAACATTAATTTAACCTTCAGTCACAATGAAGTTACTCACTGAATCGTCCTCTGTACCCGGCTCTGGTGCCCTCAGCCTTCGACCAGCTCCTGTTCACCGAGACAAAAAATACACGGAAAGAATATAAATACCAAAATAACATCTGATATGGCATCTGCTTATTGTACTACATTTCTAGTAAAAAAATCATTCCAACAGGCTCCACAAGCACTAGTTCATCTCACAGATATAATGTGTGGTTATGCACAGCTAATTAGCATTAGCTCATTTTAGCAGCAGTCACCGAGCAGCTGGGCAAAGTCCACTTATGGTAAATAAATAATGTCGTCATACATTTACAAACACGGCAAATAAAATGCATTCGTCAAGATTAACTTATTATTATTATTTTATTGTACTATACTGTTGAATGAAAAGTAGAGTCTGTAAGGCTCAACCAGAGTAATGTTTTCTAGCTATTAAATGAATGTAACAATGCAACATACAAAACAGAAACTGCACAAATGCTATTTTTCAGCAGTAAACTGAGACTTTCACCCAGTCTGGCAGTTGTTTTGAGGCTCCGAGAGACACTGGAGCCGATGATGAGACTATTTAGAGTTCTTCCTGGCAAAAATTCCCCCAGGGGCCCGCTGCCTCCTTCGCCTGTTAAGTGATCCACTGTATTGATCCGCAGATTAGACTCTGCAGCCTCTCAGTTCGGCCCCTCAAGGCTACCAAAAAGGGAAAGTCTGACTCCAGATGAATATGGTTAGTCAGATTATTAGCATTACCTGCTCTGATATCTAACCTCAATTTAATTACATTTTAATCTACCTCTTTATTGAGGCTAATTTAATGTGAGCTTCGTTGTATCAGGATTCCTACTTAGTCATCCACTTGTTAGTTGTTAAAGTGTTTGGCATAAAAAAATAATGTTGCTCTGTCCTCCAAGTCTCCACATTTTCTGTGGTTTCACATCCTAATCAGCTAATAAATTCACATCATCAAGACGCCATTGATCATCGGGTGTTGTCAGTAGAAATTAGAATCTAATAAATGTGGTTGCGCTTACCATGTAGAATCAAATTATTTCATCTGCAGACAGAAATGTTTTGGACTTTGAGCAGCTGATTAGTGTTTTTCTGTTGAGGGATAGCTGATCATTTGTGCGACTAAAACTGCAATCTATGTAAGTCTTACTGAGGCACTAAACTCCAACTCAAATCTAGGATTAAAGGAGAATGTCACCCTAAATGTATAATGTTTGCATCCACATCATATCAGCTCCATTAACCTACAATGCTGGATGAAAGGTTTTGTAGTTCAAATCTTTCACGGTAACAGAGCTCCTAAAGGCATTTACAAAGTGTCAGTAGTGTGATGGTACAGAATCATGGTTCTGTATGTACTTCGGTTTTGGGGTCACAGCACCAACAATGTTTCGCTGGCCATAACTATTACTGAGACTGTTGAAAAGAAAACAAGCTTTCTGTGTCTCACAAGGAGTCAGGACACCTGCTGACAGCTGCTGATTTATGGTCTTAACTGTATATAAGGTAGTTTAAACTAGCTCCACATCCAGCAGCTGCAACATTCTGCGTACGCTCTGTATGCTCAGTAATCTAATGATGCCATATATATGAGTCAGAGGGACCAAACCACTACTTTTAGTGGGATGGGGGGGGCTCGACATACAAGATAGAACCACAACTCGTGACCGTGGACATGTGTGACACGGTTTTTGTCTTGATTTCAGGACCGTGGCACCACTATTGTGCAGTGTAATTAAAATCTTGAGTATCCAAGTGTCAAAAATGGAAAGCCAGTGAGTGAGGGTTACAAGATATTGTGGATGTGACAAATATATCAGAAAAAACATGTGTTTAGAATGTAATTAGCATTTTTTACGAGTAGTTTGAGAGGTATTATGGATGTTTAATATCAATTTGCTGTGTTTAAACTGCTCTGAATTAAAAAAAGTGACACTAGTAGAGGTTAAACTTTCTATAATTTCATTTGAATTTTCTGGCAAGTAACTTTTTTCAAAACCTATGATTTTGGGGTTAAATATTAATTTAAAATGTTGAATTTTAAAATCAAAATTATATAACAATCCAGTATCTGATCAGATGAGAATGATATACTGCATCATCACTATAGTTTGTTAAGGAGACCCCACCCACTGCCTTAATGTATGTCATGTGAAAAGCTCTGACTGCCTGTGTAAGTGCATTAGAAGACAGTCAACAGGCACTGATGGTATAAAAAAAACCTCCTACTGTATCAGGGCGTGTCGCTGCCTCAAGGTTGATAATGCAAGAGAGTTCAAGAAGCTATCGAATTACATTATAGTTCCAATATTTTTATGACTGAAACTGAGAAGAATACCTGAAACACAAGTCACAGACAGACATTGCTCTGACACCAGGCTCAGAAATAGCATCAGAGAACATTTATCTGACACAAAAGAAGACTCACACTGTGAACTCCGAACACACCACAGTCTAGACGTCTTGTGAAATATAATAACCAACAGTCTCTACAGCTGCCTACACCATTAACTCGAGCGCTGTATGACTCCTTTTCATGCAGTCTTCACCCTTTTATCTCTTTCAGACCAGGTTTGACTAACAAAAAGTCCATTCTGTGGACTCAAACAGCTCACCTACCTGCTTCTGTTGTTTGTTTAACTCCTGGAAATAAACCGAAGTGTTAATAACAAGCTGTCCAAACTGCTTTTAAACATTCCTGGCATGAGAGTGACTGCCAAAGTGGCTAAAATGATTTGTTCAGTCTCAGATGGACAAAAGAGGCGGGACACTTTTAGGTTGCAGTCATACCTTGGGTGTCACTCCCAAAGTGGATTAAGTGATTTCTAAAGGTCCTCATGGTGACTTTGCTTCAGAGACTTAACTCTTTGCACTATAAAGTAACCTTACATTTACA